CCGATTTTCGATCTTCGTTTTTGTCTCTGAGGAAAATAAAAGGTTTCCGAAAAGTTAACGAGGTTTTTCTTCATTTCTCTGAAACCTTTTATTTTCCTCAGAGACAAAAACGAAGATCGAAAATCGGGTTCTCTTATGTCCTAGAAAAAAATGTTAGCTACATTTCAAGGCTAATCTGAGATTTGTAGCACTTGAAATAGCGGAGAAATCTTGGAATTACGCAGTACTACAAGGCAATAATCGATGTAGAGGAATAAAAGAAAAGGAGAAAAGCAGAGTTTTAGGTGCTCTTAGAAAAATACTTATGACTTTTGATGGGGATATCGCACAGGGCTCAACAATGTCTCATTTTGAAGAGAGCACTTTTCTCTATATGAATAGATGTTTAAAAAGATTTTGGCTGGTCAGCACACATGTGGACGAGTTTTAGAAAGTAAACAATGATGAATCAGAATCTCCAGTGATCAATCTTAAAAATTCCATAACTTTTGAAAGAAGAGCTATACAACCAAATCCTTTGGATGTTAAGACTAGGACATCATATAGTATCTATCGGCAAAAGGTCATCGAAATCGGAGGGTATCAGCTAGGGACCTTCTCTCGTTAGTGCTAGAATATTTTTCAATTTGTTTATAGCTGTAATTTATCATTATATTCTAACTCAATTGATTGTCACAATATTTTCGAATGTGAAGAATTACCCAAATTATGTTTGTCAAAATTAACTGTGATTGCAGTCGAAGATGATACGGTTAAACCACTTTTGCTTTTGACTTCTATTAGTTCAATTTGAAAATTATTTCGTCTTAACTTGATTGATCTTAAATTTAAATTTTTTGAAAATAAATATGATGGTAAATTATATAACTGACAATTTTCCAAATCTAAAAATTCTAAATTTATTAGTGGATAAAATAATGATTGTTTAATACTCATTTTTCCTAATGGATTATTCATTAATATTAATACTTTTAAATTTTTCAATCCTTTAAATGCTCCTTCATCAATGATAAATATTTGATTATCCGATAGGTCAATACTCGATAATTTTGTCATACGAGAAAAGACGGCATATGGTAAATGTTGTATCTGATTTTTTCGTAATATTAATGATTCTAAACGACGAATTCCAACAAAATTTGTTATTGATATTTCTTTTAAATAATTCATACTAAAATCAAGAATTTTTAAGCGTTTTAAATAATGTAAAAAATTTGCACTATTTAGTGTATGAAAATGATTTCGTTGAATATTTAAGTGAAGAATTTGTGTACGTATTGGATAAAATATTTTTTCTGATAAATACGATAAATGATTGGCTGATAATATTAGTGTTTTTAATTGTGTAAAATTTTGAAATGTTTCAGAATCAATCCATTCAATTGATAGACCATGTAAATCTAAGAAAGTTAAGTTAAACCATTTGGTCAATGACTGTAAATGAGCTAATAAACTAGACGGTGTCAAATGTCTTAATTGTTGTTGAAAATGATAAGATCGATTGGTGACCGAATGTTGAGATTTATAATGAATATACATTGGTGGATGATTGTGAAGGAATGTCGGATCAGAATAGGCTAAATGAAAAAAAATCTTATAACACATAATTTGAATTGGTGAAGAAAAGTAGTGTCAAATAAATAACGAGTGAAAATTTTCTCGATGTCAGTAACACAATTTTCCTATTGTATTCAGAAAGATTTGTACTACTCAAAAATTATATTTTACATCATAAGAAAGTGATCAATCTCCCGTATTATCAGTGTCTCTTTCAAGGTATACATGAGAAATATCTTTAATTCTAGTATAATTTAGTGAATAATTAGGCGACTTAATTATATACTATTTATAAATAATATGCATCTTAAAAGTATAGTTTTATCTTTATAATTTGAGTCGATTGAAAAAAAGAATTGTTCATAGTTGATTATTAATACTATTAGTATCAACAGTTAGAATGGACAAATATAACTGTAGTTAATTATCTAGCACTTACCCAATAGTTTTTCGTTTAATATTTTAATATCTTATTTTTTATCGCCTCTTCACTTCTCTATCTCCATGCGAACTTGGTCTCTCGGTCTTTTACTTTTTCTATGATCAAAATTTTCCGATATGTTTTTTTCAATAAAAACTCATTTTTTCTTGAATTTAGAATTTGAATACTAACAATTGTTAACAAAATTGACATTGTGTATGCGTGTGTTTAGTGATTAAATTAATATAAAAACATAAGCACATAATAAGATAAATAATAAACGATTCTATTAAGTAATTTGTGTTAATAGTTTTTAAAGACGAGAGTAAAGTTACACATACACATATGTAAAGAAAACAATATGTAATAATTTTTTAACACATGAATAATCAACACAAAAGAATCAATAGAACTGTCAATATGATGTTAAATAAATGAGCTTAAATAAAACGAAACAGTCAGTTTCGTAATGTATATATATACACATAACCTTTTCATATAAAGTATATAAAATTTGTGCAAAATCACACTGTTAAATGTTCGCATCCAGTTTGACTATATATATTGGATTTGACACATCATATAACTTTATAATATAGAATTCCATTCATTTATCAAACAGTAAGGATATCGAGTAGGCATTACTGTAATCATTCGATTTTATAACTTTGGGTATACTCCTCCCAATGTATTTAATCTGATCTGTATCGTTCTGTTTGAAATTGAAACACAATTTCGAACAAAATAACTTAATGACTTAAATTCTATTGTGAGATATTGTTACTTAATTCCTATTTCTATTTGATATGAAAGAGTTGCGTTTTGGAACAATATTGTTGAAGCAGTAAAATATATCCGACACAGAATCTGATAAGATATATCTTTTTATCGAGACTATTTCAAGAGATCTGTTTTGGAAAATAATAAAACAAAAATTCCATTCGATTTATTTCGCTCTTCGCAACAATCGTAATGAAGTGTCCTTCATTTCACACACGACTCTTTTTTACAAACTGTGACCCTCTTCACGAGAGGAAATCCATTAGATTCTGATCAACATCTCCTAACACCATGACTTAGTAGTTATGTTTTTCGTCATGTGCTTCAGAGGTACTGAAGTCGGAGCACTGGCAAGTCGTATAGTAAACTTTAAGCAAGTTAGTTATGTCTTAATACCTCGAATCACCTATTCGGCAGCATACTCACTACATTAGTTCTTCCGATTAGTCTTCACGGCTTCCTGGACCGAGTTATTATATGAATAGTAGGTGTGCACGAGTAGCTCAAGCAATTGGACGAAAGAACTCAACGTTAGGCTAGTCTTTTGAGCAGCAGTTGATGTCTAGTAACAAGATGGATAACCATGTTTGATGCTTCTCAACTGCAGGAGCTATTGAAACTAATATTTGTTAGCATTCTACACCGATAACGATAGTAGCCAGGCAGAGTATTCTTCCTTTTTCCTTCGTCCAGTAGACGTATAGATATCTTTTTCCTTTGTGTTGATTCTTTTTCTCTCGTTTCTTCGATTTTTAACTTTACTGTAAGTACCATTCAAAATTTTTGTCTTCATAAATATATATGTTTATTGACAAAATCTGAAAGTTTAATACTTCAGAGAAAAAGTAATTACATATTATTATTTTTCTTTGTATAAATGGAAATTTTTGTTATTATTAAGATAATCCTTTATGTATATCTAACTGATTGACTTACGTTTATTTTGTTCTAACAATGTATCAATCTGAGTTGAATTTGACATGATGTATATCGATAAAAATTGTAGAAAAAATAAAATTTGAAATAATTTCCAGAGCATTACCAACACATGAAAGAAATTTTAACAAATCAATAAAATAGTAGTGTCAGATAGAATATTTGATATTCCTCATGATATAAACAATAACAAGGATATGTCATAGATTCGATATGTTCAGGAATAAAATTATTGAAATAGATTAAAAAGTATTCATTACATCGATATATAACATATATAATTATTAATTAATCTTAAAACTTAAAAATATGATAAGTCTATATGTATTTTGTATTTCTCATTTTTAGAATATATCAACATTATTGTTTTAGTTAAATCTTAAAGGTATTACCGCATATATCAAATGTATATCGTGACGTTTTATCGAAAAAAAGAGAGAAGAGAAGAGAAGAGAATAAAGCAAAAAAAAAAGTGTTAATAAAAAGTGCGAACGTTCAATGTAGAGGAAAATACTATATGTTTTTATTAATAATAATAATAATGAGAAAAAAATGACGTTTTTCTCTGATTTTTTTTCTTCTTCTCTCTCATACATACTTTAATCTGTACATATTTGATGCATGAAAATCTTTGATATAAGAGGTGGTTTAATGGGTTAGTGGCACATAAACCGATAATAATAATAAATCTATATGCGCTGTTTATCATCACATCTATTTATTTATCTCTGTCACAGTTGAAAAAAAGCGAAACCTTTTTTTTGTATAAACAAGGTGACGATGGAATAGAATTGCAGAAAAAAAAAATGATGAAAAAAAAATATAGCAAAGTGTTAATCAACCAAAAAATAATTAATAGAAAATGAACAAAAAGTCTAATACTTTTTAATTGATTTATCCGAATAGTTAATCTCTCATATCCTTAGTAGTAAATAAATTTTTGATCAATAATAGAGAATTAATTTTCAACTAATAAATTTAGTATTATTGTTCGTTTATTTTTATTATTTATATCCTCAAAAATGTCGTTAACAATAAGTGTCTTTTTCACATTTCATTAAACAATTAGTAAGTAAAAACACATCTGTGTACAAGTCATTTACAATAGAAAAAAAATATGCTAATATAAAATAAATGTATATTTATATATGTCTTATAGAGTACTGAGATAAATAGAATAAGTTTTGAGAGATGATAAATTCCGATGATTATGTGTGACAAAACAACAGTCTAGAAAAAGTTGTTTACATAAAAATTAGATTAATTGGCCTGGATATTTTTAAGAAAACCAGTAACTCATTCGAAAAATGTCATTGTTGAATAAATAACTTTTTCTTAGACAAAAGATGACAATAGCTATTTATCGTTGAAGAATTCATTGTTCCATTATTGCTTTACACTCATTTAATTATTAAGAAAAAAGATTTTCACCTTCTTCTCAGCTAGTTGGAGTTTTTCAACACTGTTTTACATTATTACTCTCTACTAATTATTCTTGAGAAAAATGGAACAATAATAATAAATCAATTAGTTCAATAACGTTATGTGTCATTGATGTGTGAAGTCAAAACTTATATTGGATGAATATCATTTGAAGAATATTTATATTAAAAAAGAGAAAAATAAATCATTAACCTTTCTCTCTCATCTATTATATTTCGTTTTGTAACTCTTTAAAATAATTTCTCGTTAAGTCATGTGTCAACTATGCTTATCTTTATATGTATATGTATCAAAAGACAGAGAGTATTTGCCGAATTTTTTACATTAGTTGTATATCATGTCTATGTGTGTAACGAACTTTTTATAAGATTATACATTGCCTGTCAAAATTTATTTTTGTTAGATTGATTAAAATGTTGAAAACATTTATCCGTAAAATTGTATGTATATTGAATAGAACAATATGTCGCGTTCAAAATTTGAATCTTTCTTTTCCAATAGGTATACGGCTAATAGCTCATATTTTATTGTTAGAATTTAAAGACCTTCGTGATTGCTAATTGATAATATAGAATATATACAATGTAAACGCTAAATATATGTTTAGAAAAATGATTGATAATGACTAGAAAAATTCTCCATTCAAAATGAAAAATACAGCTACACCATCGTGACGAGAATCTTACTACAAAGTAAGAGTAGTATCGTAGAAATATTTTGTAATATTTCTCAAGTCTCTAGTAACACCTGAGATCAAATTATTTTATACTTATCTTTTCTATTTTGATTTGCATCATTAGTAGATGAATGTAAATTGTATACACTGGTTCAAATAATTTGTTCAAAACTGAGTTGAAACCTTTTCATATATATGCAGATTCTTTACGTTTACATCTATGTAGTTACTCGAGGTCACCTAACACCAGTCTTGAGACTCTTAGCAAAACTGACACCACGCCTAAAACTACAGAGATTAAACTCACTGATCAAGATATTATACGTAGCTTACTTTGTAGGAAATTCGACGAGCTTTAAAATGGTATATGATACAAATGAAGTAGGCCGATTATCAACCTTATGCGTCCCCCTCCTTTGTCCATGCACAATGTTCTTCATATCCAACAAAAAATCGTTCAATATCATCTTCTGTAGGACTGATGATCTAGATAGGAAAATTAAGGAATACGAAAATCATAAGGTTTCTTCAACCTAAGATGTTGACTTCATTTCTCCCTGTCTATCCGCATTTTTACCGTATACCGGTCACGTTTTTTAGCACATAAAAAGTTATCAAATCGTGGATACAGAAATAAGTATGTATATGGAAATTATGTCTGATTTAACTGCGCACAAATTAGTCGCAAACTAGTCTTTTCTTTCACTAATATATATAATGATGATGAAATGTCACGAACATATGTTTATGTTTGTCTATCATTCTAGCGATATAAGTAAACATTCATATAGAATTCACATAGATCAATCTATTGAACATTTGGCATATATAAACAGTCGGCTGTCACCGTTTACCACCGATCGAATTTTATCTATTTGTGATTTCCACATTCTATTACAGTATACTTGCAAAGATATACACAATGCCCACCAAGTTTATATGTACACCATTCATAAAATCTAAGTTTATTTTAAAGTTGTAATTTAGTCCAAAATTTTTTAAAAAAATTAAGAAAACATAAGTTTTTGCAGATCTGATAGCTTTTGACTGAAGACCAAATCAATCGTGCATTCCAGTCAACACAAGAGACTGCTGTCTGTCCTAAAATAAGATATGGATCTATGAAATTATTTTATACTTATCTTTTCTATTTTGATTTGCATCATTAGTAGATGAATGTAGATTGTATACACTGGTTCAAATAATTTGTTCAAAACTGAGCTGAAACCTTTTCATATATATGCAGATTCTTTACGTTTACATCTATCATTCTACTGATATAAGTAAACATTCATATAGAATTCACATAGATCAATCTATTGAACATTTGTCATATATAAACAGTCGGCTGTCATCGTTTACCACCGATCGAATCTTATCTATTTGTGATTTCCACATTCCATTACAGTATACTTGCAAAGACATACAATGCCAAACAAGTTTATATATACACCCTTCATAGAATCACCATCCTAAAAAAAGATATGGATGGTCATTTTTTGAACTTCTCAGTAACGAAAAGAGATAGCGACCTGCGATTTGCGGTATTTTAAAGTAAATACCTAGGACTATCCACCTATGAAACAATAAGAGTCCCAGCCCATTACAATCCTCAAAACGTTTCTGGCAAGATTTGATTTTCCAGAGGATGTCTGGAAACCCTAATCAGTAATGCAAACTTCTTCTTCACTTTTAATCATGCCAGTCGAGAGAACAAGGTATTCTGAGTATAGTCTGGAATCTTGAGCTGTTTTGAACATGCTTTGACGGATTTCTAGTGTTTTTATTATTATATGGTATCTGAAGAAAAATGGGTTTTCACGAAAACATTCTGTCGTCTTTCTTTTGATTCGCATATAAAACCAAACATTGCCACGATGTTCAGCGTGCTAGATTACTTATATCTAGATGTGTATAGCGGTTATCAGATTAAAGGAGGGTGGGTTAGGCCGGTCCTAGCAAAACGACAATACGTCCGAAACCACGACAGGTTGCGATTTCGGACTTGCGCACATCAATAGAGGACACTTCAGGCTATATATTGATGGAGAAACAATAAATATATGTTTCCAGCGCTTGGAACTTAAAAAACGTCGATACGATACACCACCTGTAGGTAATACCGGAACTCTTATTTTTCCATAGGTGGATAGTCCCAAGCGTCGATGCCGAAAATCGTAGATCTCTATTTCTTTTCGTTACGGAGAAATTCAAAAATTTGGCCATTTGTATCTTATTTTTAGATAGACAGTAGTCTGATAATATTTCTGCATTCACTTTTTCACCTGTTTATGCTTGTTCTTCAAAAAAGAGAATAATTATTCATATCGGTAAAAATAATCTAGGGATGTAGAAAACGGACCTACTTTAACATTTTTCTTTTACTCCTTCTTGATCAGCTGTACGATGCATTTATTAAGAGGTACCATTTTCTCATTTATCTTTAAATTTTCGTTCATTAAAAGAATATATATATATTTAATTTCCTACTTTTATTTGTTTTATTAGAAAATTAACTTGTATAGACTAACAAGTTCCGAATAGACTAATATCAAAAACAAAATGAAAACTATGATTTTAAAAACAGGGAAAACAAAAATCACAACGGAATTGACCTACTAATTTTTTCAAACAAAATGATTCACTCTAGCCGCTGAAAGATCAATTAGTCTCCAAGCTGCATTAGGATCAAGAATAGTTAAATCACGTCCCAAAGCAAATATGTAATTGATACGATTGATTTGCTCCTAAAAATAATCAAAACTTAGTTACACAAGTGAAAATATAAAATGATACAAATACATACGGGATGTCCTTCGATTATTTTTCCGGTCTGTTCACTAATATAAGCTATTTGTTGTGCTTGAAATGTCAGAACTAGCACCGGTAATTCCATCATTTTTGCTGCAACTAACTAAAATATACCCATGAATCAACCTCTGTAATCAAGTATTTGAGTCTTCAATCATCAACAAGAGTAGAAAATTAAATTATGTCGCTTTGAATAAGAAATTAATCAAAGAACGTACTTCAACATCACCGAGATCAATAATCTTCAGAGAATATTTATAGCCCAACGCTTTTGAAGTTGTTATTGGATTAATCAAAACATTGTAGACCTAAAACGAAACATTTTTATTTAACTGATAAATCAAGTTAAACGTTAAACTACACCACTCACTGCTTCAGTGCACCAATCACGTAAAATTTCTAATTCCCCTCTTGCCAGTGACTAAAATAAATAGCAAAACATGTCTATTCGAAAAAGGTCAAAACTAGAGATGCTCAAGCTCCTTTTCAACTAATGTACAAATAAAACTATCTTTTGTACCATTATGGCGAAACTCAAAAAATTAAATTGGAAAAATCTTAGAAGAGAGATGAATTTTCTGTTACATACTTCTGTATGAGGAAGAACTTTGACGTATTAACGAAAACAACATCTCATAGTTCTGGATACACAAATCATTTTCCAACAAATATTTTTGTGCGTTTTTGTTTTGTTTTGTTTTCATTTTCTTCAAAGTCTGTTTACCTCAAAAATATTTGGTATAATATCATATTGCACATTTTTTAAAAATTTGGCTACATCAAATGCTGGATCAGAACGACATATTTCGGTTAGTGTCTCGGATGTTTCTGATGGACTAAAGACAGAAGCTAAATAAAGAGAATAAGTTAAACAAGAATAAAATTTGTGTATTTGAAAGAAAGCACATACTTAGTGCACCAGACACCTTTTCTGTTAATGAACGAGCAACACGAATAACAAAATTGTCACTTTCATCATATTTTGTTTTCAATTCAAATAATTCTGAAATTTTTTTCAAAAATATCAATTAATTTAAGATAGATAGATATGTGCGTACTAGAAAATTTTAAACAACTTACTGTGTACATAGGCATTATTATCTTTGAAATTTTGCCAGTTTTGATACCATTGTGAATCTTTATGCAAGACAACTGATTGAGCTTCTCTAATCAAGTACAAAAATCATTTTTTTGTATAAAACTAAATTAACCCTTTCTTGCCCTTTGGTCCCTATAGGGACCATGTTATAAAAGTTTTATTTTTTTTGAACTAGAAGGCTTTTAACGAGGAATCTTATGTCACCTTTAAGAGTAACTATCGTGGACTGTATA